ATCTTTCCTCACCCCACGCAAGTTGGCAGAGCCAAGTCTTCAATTCCCTCTGAAAAATTGGGAGGGAAGGGGCCCAGTTCACCTCTGGGGGACATGGTTGCTAAAAGTTATTCCCAGTTGGATTTAATTTTGACGACTTCGCGTGGATAAATGTGTTAATGATATTTTTGGACAACTGGGGCTACTTTATTAGTAAGGCAGGATATGCATTTAAAAAAAAAAAGAATGAATGAATATTTACATGCCTACCAATATAACAAATTAACCCATAGTTACCAGAGTTCACCCAGCTACTTAATTTAGTTTATTTTACTAAGCCTGTTCCGCAGCTCACTTTCCAGCCTAACTGCTTTTTATACATCTCAAGAGGAAACATATCAGGAGAAAATGCCAGTGGGGTCCATCTCTCCTCCCTGCCTAAGGCAGAAAGCCTTGTCGGGACCTGCACGCAAAGCACCATTTCAACCTACCCCAAAGGCCTGCATGAAAAGTTAGCCATCTGGTCGGTTGGAAAGCAGGTGGTCGACTAACCTTGGATCGGATCGCTTCCTTCCTCTGGGCGTCCCGTTCATCTGAAGACAACAAGGGAGACTGGGTGGGTGGGGGGTGGGTGGGGAGCAGGCTGCGTATTACACAGAGAGGCAAATGCCATGGTTTGGATAGATGGCCTTTCGAGGCCTCTTTTAAGAGTGATTTTGTCAGCCAATGTAGAAACAAGCAAACAAGGGACTCCAGGAAAACGAAAATCAGGTTGAGATGGAGAATGATCTGGGGGAATAGGTTTGTCCAGCAAGAACTGAACCAAGGCAGGGAGAGACCAGCCCGAAATGAAAATAAATCGATTCCCTCCAACCCAGACTCAGCTCTACGATGGCCAAACTGCTACCATCTCAAGCCCTTTGCTTTTACTCAAGAGTTGGTTGACTTTGGAGGAATGAAGGAGGGGGGAAAGCAAAGAGCAACTGGGCTACTCACAGCGTAAGGCAGGAACAAAGTACTCCAGCGCTCTGGAGTAGAGTGAGAGTGCAGCGGCCAGGTCACCTTCTTGGTCCTTCTTCACGGCTTCCATTACAAGTGTGGTCTGAAAAGAAGCAAAAAAAACACTAGAAGATGTTAAGAGAAGGGACAGTTGGCCAAGGGGTTCTATCCTCTGAAGGAGCCCTCTTTTTCTTGAAGGACAACGTAACTTCTCATGCAGGGGGGGATGGAAAGGCTAGTCCCACCTATCCCAAGCCTTCAAGGGGCAACGATCAACTCCCATCCATCCACCCCTTGGAAAATGTTGCAGGGTGAGAAGGTAAGACAAGAACCAATGTGTAGTAGCTTTAGAGCAGTGTCTCTCAACCTTGGCAACTTGAAGACCCGCAGACTTCAACTTCAACACAGACACCACACACACAGAGACACACTTGCCCCTTTGCTGGTACTCACGGCTTTCCCCAGACATTCCGCATTGGGCATATGCTCCATGTCCACAAATGGGTGAGCAAAGAACGCCTGGAAGGAGATGCGCTGCTGGGGATCCCTTTGCAGAAGACGCTGCAGGAGATCCCGGCATTCCGGCGAGAGACGGGGGCGGCTGGGGAGCTGGGAAGGCAAGGTGGGAGGAGTAGGTTAAGTCTTAAAAGTCTCCCCTTCCTGACCAGGGAGCATTTCTACCACTCAGCTGGAAGCCAAGATGGGCAGATGTTCTATAAAGCAGCGGGGATGGGGGTTGTGCTATGGATCCCTTTGAGGATCTGGGGAAACCTGTGGATCCCTTCTCAGAAAAATGCATAACTAAAGGCAAAAATAAAATAAAATAAAATAAAATAAATAAAATAATGTATAGAATAGAATAGAATAGAATAGAATAGAATAGAATAGAATAGAATAGAATAGAATAGAATAGAAAAAAAATAAAAAAAATAAAAATAAAAAAAAGGCATAAAG